AAATATTATACTTACACAAATTTTTCCTTCCAGTAACCACCACTAAAAGCGACCCTCCTAAACACTATAAGCAGTCAGGTACTGAGGTCCACATCAGTTTTAGCTGCCACCTGTTTGATTAACCTGCTTTATCAAATGTATGTATGTATGCAGTCGCTTTTGCTTTTCGGAAGTTAAGCCTGGTTCACATAAAATCGTTAAGCAGTTGCAGACAGTCGCTGACATGTGCCGAATTTTTATATTAACGATCTGCGACGGATCGGGAAAGTTGAACCAAGTTCAACTTTCCCGATTCGTCGCCGATCCGGTCTCATTCGGCACATGTCTGCGACTGTCTGCGACTGTTTTTAACGATTTTATGTGAACCAGGCTTTAGAGTTATGACGGCACTGCCGTTTCAGGGCGGGGTCATTTTCAGGTCTTCCGTCCATGTCATTTTACCCTAAAACAGTTGAGATTACCTGTGCTAAATGGAACGCATGCAAACTCCTATACTGGTCCTAGACTAAACATCTTATTGCAAACTGCGAAAATCTTATTGCGACTGATGGCGGAAAACGTCCTTTCGCAAAATTTGATTTATCCCTCAGAATCCGAACGAAATCCGATCGGGTCCAATTTGAACTCCGATCGAATTTGCACACTTCCAATTTTGATGTAGATCCGTAATGGTTAAGAGAGGATGAGAAAGGATACTTCAAACTAATAAATGCAATTCCAATAAAATTCGGTTTAAACTAATGTTCGTAATTCGTGTTCGTGTAATAATGTTCGATATTTTTTTAATTTGTTACAGAGAAATCGGTAGCGGTCCGGTTGGTAGGACCATCAAGTTCCAATGGTACTGGTCGTGTGGATGTATTCTACAATGGAAGATGGGGTAGAATATGTTATAATTATTGGGATATAAACGATGCTAAGGTTGTATGTCGTCAACTTGGTTATCAATATCCTGTGGCAAGTCGATCGGTCTATCTCTACCCTAATGAAAGATATGGGCAGATTTGGTTAGATAAAGTTGCATGTACTGGAACTGAGCAAAGTTTAGACGATTGTTCTCATAACGGATGGAGAAATCATACTTGCTTGTCTTATTCTACTTACGCCGCGGGAGTGCAATGTTCTTCAACAGGTAAAAGGAAAATATGGTTTTGTGACATACCAGAATATACGTGAATATTTTATTGAATTAAAATACAAATGAGAAATGCATATATACTTTAGTTGCATGTATACAATTCATACTAGAAATACATGCATGCACCAACCCCTCACATTTCAGCTTTATGTATTCTAAACTGGAAGTTACTATTGCAAGGAAAGTGCTGCCTCACCCCCAAGGGATCAGAAGCGGCATGCGCAATTTGCTGAATAAGAGGTTGTTTATATGATCCCGCTTTGCCAGACGAGATATGACGCGGGATGATCACGATGTATTGAAATAAGTCACGGTGCACGATTCAACAAAATACTTGATTATATTGTAACAATTGAAAGGTTGTTCAAGGAGCAATAATAATCTTCTTGAACTACTAGAAATACATGCATGCAACAACCCCCTCACCCAGGGTCGTCGCGAAGACATCAACATTGGGGGGTGTCGTCATGTTTTGACCAACTTTTCCAACATATCAGTTCCATTTTGACCAACTTTGACCAACGTTTGAATTATTAAGGGGGGGGGGGGTGTTACACCCCCCCACACACACCCCTATAGCGACGTCTCTGCCCTCACCTATATTTCCCAAACATTGTTTCAACATGAAGTATTCGTAATTACGTCAACACCAAACGCAGGCTCGCGTTGGCACGTCTTGGTCATAGAAAGGATATTGTCATGGTAGTCATGGCACACGATAATTGTTTTTTAAATTTTTTGTACAAACCTACAAAAATAGATGAAATTTGAACACTTTAAAATACAGAACTATCAACTATAAAATATCTAAAGTAGATATATTATTTTGGTTTCTATGGACCTTATTTTAATGTGAAATTCAAAACGAAACTCTACGTAAAACATTTTTAAATGTGAATTGAAATTAACTGCTTTTTGCCGATATTTCTAAACTCTTCAACTCGAGCTTCAACTTATAACTCGCACTTCAAAATGAAATAAATTTAATTCATACAGGACACTGATTTAACTAAGAAACTTTCGCAAACAATGCATAGAAAAGACTTTAACATCAAGAACAAAGTATATGAATACAAAGTCATACATAAACAATTGAAACAAACTTGCCCTATAATTTAGGATTTCTCATACTAAATCAATTCTTATAAATGTTTACGTTTAAAGGCCTTATGCATCGAAATTTTCGATATCTAGCGCGCTTTTATTAAATTATAAACGTGTGGCCTTTTCTGAGCAAATTGATTCCATGATCACCAAAATATTCTAAACAGAATTTACTTAAATTCTCGTCTAAAGTTACATGGCAATGCGAAATTCGATCCAAAATAGTGACGTCACAATGATGAGTGACTTGTTTTGTGTAAACAAATTTAGCTTCATTTACATATGTGCACTGTGCACAGTCTGCTGGTCTGCGAAGGTCCAAGAAGTTCAGGCTTCTTTTGCTGTTTCAGTTATCACTTTTTACTTTCCAAATGTCTGAGAGTGAAACTGATGAATCGGAGAGCATTTCAAAGGATTGTTCATCGGCAGAAAGCGATCAAGACAGCGAGGTTAATTCGGACTGCGGAGTTGTAGTTATTGGCTCCGCCATTACGACACCGTATGAAGACGAACCGATTTTACACGGCGAAAACATGGAAGAGTCAGAGGAAGAAGTCGACATTGACGGCATTCTTTTACATGTATTGGAATCGAGATTTTAGAAGGAAACTCCTTTAAAGGAATGGTAAGTAGAGGCTTGTTTATAATATGAATATTTGAATATGCTAATAATTGCGCAGGCTGCATACCGCCGAACAACTGCTTTTGTTCTTCAGAATCTAAGTACCATTTAAAACACGAGTAGGAGTGTTTTATCACATATAAAACACGGCGCGTAGCGGAGTGTTTTATATGTGATAAAACAGGACTACGAGTGCTTTAAATGGCTTAAAAAACGACCCATCTTCTGATGAGTACATTAGCGAAGTAATTTTTAAAATAAACTTGTCTAAACCGAGAAAATCAAAGCTAAAGTTTATGTAAATTAACATGATTTATTATCACATATAAAACCACGACACGCTTATGATTTTTCTTTCTGTTTTCCTCCTGAATTATCTTTTAGTACAACATCGCTTTAGTACAACATCGCTTCGCACACGCTCGAATTACATAATGAATATATCACAATAATCACATCACATCACACAGTTAAATTAAATCCAGCTAGTTCAATAATCTCCTTTATAATAATTAATTGCTATGTACCTAGTCTTGACTCGTGTTACTGTATTATATATAGGTGCTCTTACTTACTAAATGTGATTATTCCTTGCTCAATGGTGCAAGAGAATACAGATGCTGTTCGGAAGTCCACGAAGCAATTGGCAAATTATGCTTTGACGGCAGCATAGAGAGGATAAAACGCATAACACAGCATGAAGACTATCAATCCATGACCCAGACTCTTGTTTTAGTGCACGTTGGCCCCCTATTGAAGGATAAACAGGGACGATCGTACAAGCAGAAGAAAGGGCAAGGCAAAAATGGGTATGTGAAAACTAAACGTAAGTTGCTTATTTACATGTAATCTGTAGCTCAGCAAGTTTCTTTGATGTCAAGCACAACAGAGCTTTGTCTGACAGTTTCAACAGGTAAAATTATCCGCAAAAACAATCCTTGTTTACTCATTCAAGAGCTCTCATGTGTGCCTGGGCTCCAAGCGAAGTGTTTTCCACACATCATAAAAGAATAGTTCACTATTTATTAGATTTTGAACAATGGTATACTGATGCTTCAAAAAGGTTTTTTCCAGGGATTTTGCCTTCTCACAATTTTACTGTATCATTTATAGGTACTTAAGAGCTGTTGCTTACAGATGGGTCATCAGATACATTTTTGGTTATCTTGGATGGGATAACACAAGACCATTACCGGCTTGCGTATACCATGATATCAGAAAAAAATTTCAACTGGCTGGTCAAAGGGTTATGCATCTGCCCTTGAAAGACAGTAACTGACTTATATTTGTAAAGTACTCGACTAACTCAAGTTTTGCATTAAATTTAAAAAGTTATTAACAAGTAATATAACTATAATAATATAACAAGTAATAATATAAATGGCATGTTTCCATGAGCAAATCAGCAACATGGAAGTTTTGGTTACTAGATACAGTACCGTAATTTAAATATACCAAAGTTTTTCATTGGGTATTTGTGTCAGACTCACACCGTCCCCTAGGATGTCCTTTCATAGGCTTTTTGCATGTGCGACAGAATCGGTGTCTTCTTTCTCCAGCTTGTGAAACAACTCGAGGTGTAACACATCATGCTCAGCCTTTGTAAAACAAATTAAAGGAACCCTGAAATGTTGAAACATGTTAACATGCTTCTGACATCTTTAAGGGTGCTGGTTTTCATCAGGATGTTGTAGAGCCTTTCATGAGCTTGTGTACCTGAAAAATGACAACCAAGAAATTCAGTACAGGGGATTATTACACAAGATGGTTAAGGAATGGTCCATGCATGGTCATTTTATATATTATATGCATCCTTAATTACCAAGGTATTTTCCATGAGCATGGTTAGAGTACACTGTAGTTATTTTCAGATTGTAGTAATTACACAGGTGACAATCTACACCGAAAAGTGCGAGGGTCGATATGTCCCCCAGGATTGATGCCCTTGAGTAATCAACTTCTAGTTTGTAATATTACCTTGTTTAAGCCAATCACGCTGTTCCAGTTGTCCATGAGCACATTTGGAGTAGAGTGGGTCAGAATGGTTGGTGTGATTATTTGAAATATGTCTTATTACAGATTTCCATTTCGCTAAAATCATTTCACCAAACGTACCCTTGTTTTAAAAACAATGCGCACCAATATAAATGATAACTTCAGACAGATAACTTCTCGTTCCCTTTCTCTTTGCTGGCATTTAGGACCTTTCTCGATATTCCTTTCACAACATGCCAAATGTCATGATAGTGGCGTGTTTCTTTTTCACATTCCCGTATCCACTCAGCAATACCTCTATGCCTATCACTAATAAATGATTTGATTTTTAAACTAGCATCTTTAAGATACTGAAAGCACTTCTTAGCACCAGCTAGTTCCATTGCGTTGCTGTTTCCAGTTTGGTTTGACTACAATAAATGAAGGAAAATTAACCCTTTGCCAAACAGACTGGCTAAAACCGCCGCTTCATCATTTATTATGCTTTACTCTGTCTAACACCAGATGATCTTTGTCATCCACAGGGAGCCTGTAATAGACGAAGGGTTATTAAATCTTTACCCATTAGGGAGGTGCAGTATTAATAAATATTTTCCTACCTGTATTAATTCAAAGCGCACCAACTTTGAAAAGGAATTGCAAAGCATAGTATACGGACCATATTTGGCATTGTGGCCCATCGAATCAAAACGGCCATCTCCTGACTATTGAGCATCCTTGATACCTTTCACCTTCTCAATTATGCAGCACGATACTTTTCCCAATACATAAAGATTGAAGGGAACAAGAACTTTTTCTGGTGTGCAAAGTAGGTTCGAGGAGATATAGCTGACAAACCCATGTGTCTAAACATGAGAAATGTTTGACTAATGTTTACACCTGACATCAAAATACTGAAGCTCATCATGATATTGCCTACTGGATGTCTTCCATGTATTAAAGGCTGGCTTCTCTACTTGAATTGGCGATTGTTCCCACAATGTTTGCATGACTGGATAACAGTTGCCGTTGTTCCAATTATTTTGATGGTGGCTGAGGGACTGGCCTCTTTGCATTGGAAACAAAACAACTTGAAAAGACCCATCAACATGCTGAAGAACACAATAAATTTTGGCTCATCTTGTGGTTTAGTATTCACATCGACACTACAAAAAAAAAGTTAAGACAATTGCAACACTTGTCAACATAAATCCGAGGATAAATGAGACAACACAAACTATGAAAGGTATATATTTTACTTACAGAAAAGGCCCAATCATTCCCCTTATTTTGTATTGGATGTTGTGATTGTTGTGATGTCATATTGGCTTACCTGACTGTGTTTTTTGTAACTGCAACATCATCATTATCACCATTATCATCAGAATCAGGCCATCCATGATATTCTTCATAAGTGGACCAATCTGTGTCACTCTCCTGACTATTTTCGTCAATATCAATGCCCATTTCTTCTGGCACTTGACTGCAAGATGTTTCAGATGCAGTATACTTTTCACTTTTGGAAGGTTGTTGTATTAACTGCACCTGACAAAGAGAAAACTGATGAATAAAAAATTGAAAATCAATGGCCTTTGTCCCAATTGTAATGAAAGGTAAAAAGTTCTTAATACAGTTATACACTACAATAAATACAAATGGCATAAAAAAGATTACAATGACATCTAAGCTCATTTTATGACTTAGTGTATCAAAACACAGTACATTTGTACAACACTTACTGCATTGTCAATGATTGCGTAGCGTTTCCGTTTGCTTTCTTAAACGCCAGTTAGCCTTCTGCATTGCTTGAATTTTCAATTTCGATTTTTGAATGTCGGCCTTCAGCCAGATCGTCATTGTCGACTTCGTCAAACATCGCATTAGCAGCAGCATTGTCGTCGTCGTGATCATCTGCTTCAACGAAAGTATTTGGTTCTTCAATCATGGATCGTAAAACCTTCGGAATAAAAATAAATTGTCTGTGTTGGTTATAAACCAAAATATTTTAGTAGTTTAACTGCAAAACAAGGCTTCGTTTGTAGCCAATGTTAGATAAATCACAAATATACACATTTCTGGTATAAGGCAATCATTTGCAAAATTTGCATCTTCGTTCTCTCACCAGTGTTGCTGTATCTGTCTTAGTTGTTTCATTTGCTGCATCAATGCTTGGCACAGCATCATCTTTCAGCTTTGCTCTGATTCCATATTAAAGGGCTGCATCCCGGGGAACAGAGTAGCAGCTGTCTTCGAAGTAAATAGAACGTAAAGACGAATACGTCGATGGCTTGAATTTCGGTCGGTGCCTCCTGACAAAACGTACCCATTGTTGGTGTCTTTTGAGGTCTTTGGCATTATTTGAAAAATAATGAGAAGATACACCCTTCGTAAACTGTATGTTCATACAACTGACACCACCATAGGTCCCAGCGACGCAAGATCTGCCATAATGTTTAGACACTTTGTGCTTTGGTGATGAAATGTTAATATTCGCCATGTTGAAATCAAAGTTCACTCATCACTGTGACGTCATTACGTAAATAAATTAATTTCGAAGCCAAAACGTGAAATTTGTCAATTTTGAGACGTGATAAGACGAAAACCGTGCGAAATATTTCAAATCCGTTTCTTGCATTGGATTGGGAATGCGAAATACTATAGTCTCAACCGAAAAATATAGTATCGAAAATTTCGATGCATAAGGCCTTTAAAAATTGAAAAAATGTGAAACGATTTTCCAAGCCTTTTTACCTGTATTTTTTATAGTATTTGCCTTCTTCACTGGCAAACAGCCATATTTTAAGATCAATGAGATGACCACCCACCGCGAACTACGAACAGTAGCCCACGCCCGCGATCATTGATGAACTTTAGACTTCGCTAATGCTTGCGTTTCGCCGGGTGTAAATAGCTGGGCGGAATTAGAACCCTCTTCTCTACAACATTTGAGTTCTATATTAACCAGCATTTGAACTTTCGTTTTGCCCAGCGACTTATTTCAACACACACATCACCTTCCGTCATATGTAATCAGCCCCTATATATAAGGCGCCTGTTCAGGAGGTAGGTAAAGTGCAATTTGAATATCAAACACTTTGCACAGTGTGGAAGGTCAGCTAAACATTTTAATTCTACTTTCTTGGCATCAGTGGTTTTATATGAATACTATCAACGCTTATAACTTCTTGCTTTTGTATGTATAATATTAATTATAACACTGTCAATGGTGAAGCTAGCCATAGCAACAGCTCGATGCTATAGATGCAAGTTTTTAATGACTTGCATCATTCAAATAGATGCAGATTTATTAGCACAGCTTGCCCAGTTGCCATCATATATCTATAAACGATAATATAATACTTATGATAGATAAGTATAGATATGAGAGCCCGACATATAACTTTTAACAAAGCCATAAGATTAAAACAGTTAAGATTTTAAAGAATTTTTATTGTGACGTTTCGTCTTTAAATTAAGGCATCTTCAGACTAGATGTTAAAAGTTATATGTCGGGCTCTCGTATTTGTCATAAGAATTCGTTTTCCGCCTGCATGGCAAATCTCTGGCAACGATATTGTATATAATACTTGAATGAATCATTGGACATATAGAATTTAATAACAATTCTATATATAGAAATACTAAGCTGTTTTTCCCCAATTATCCTTTTAATGGCACCTTCAAGGCTACCCCTATCGATTAAACAATCGAGCTAGAGCATCATTTGTTGAATGTTTAAAGTTGTTTAAATTAAAGCAATTAAAGTTGCAGAAGAGGTGTTGAAAGCATTTTTAAAGGAAATGAAGTATCACCAAATGACAAATTATCACGCGAGCGACACTTGCTAGGAAGATGGCGACCGTGAGAAAACGTTTTCACTGAAGTTGCGCATGCACATCTGTACATATGTAATGTTGACTGAACGCAGGTTCGCGTTGCTTGTGTCATGTTAGCCAGGGTAACCAACACGATCATTGTTTTGTTTCTTCATTTTTGTACAAAACGAGGCAAATATAAATTAATGCATGTTTTACATATTTAACTTTTGAACTACCGATTTCTAAAATACATTATGTGTGTTATTTCGTATTCTAATCCCCGAGCCAACGGCGCGTAGCGACGTTCCAGGCGTAAGCCCGGGGCGAGGGTACTAATACCGCCCGGCTATTTTCACCCGGGGAAAGGAACGCACTAGCGAGGTCTAAAGTTCATCAAATATCGCGGGCGCACGATCATCTCACTGATCTCAAAATATCGCTGTTTGCCATGCAGGAGTGAAGAAGGGGAAAATATAAAAAATATATGTATAAAGAAAGCTTAGTAAATCGTTTCACATAACAAATTGAAAATTTTTTTTCGATTTTTATCAAACGTAAACATTAGAAGAATTGATTTAGTATGAGAAATCATAAAGTATAGCCTATATAGGGCAAATTTGTTTTCTTGTTGTTGAAATTAACTTTTGTAGAAGTTCATGATAAAAAGGAAAGCAAATTATTTTCATCAGCGTCCTGTACGAATTAAATTTATTTCATTTCAAACTGCGAGTATTAAATAAGTTGAAGCTCAAGTTAAAGAGTTCATAGTATATTAAAAATAAAATAACGGCAAAAATCAGTAAATTTCATTAATTTCATTTAATATAAAGCCAATGCATAGAAAACAAAATAATATACCTACTTATATGTTTTATAAATTGATAGTTCTGTATTTAAAAGTGTTCAAGTTTCATCTATTTTTTGCAGGTTTGTACAAAAAGTTTAAAAAAAAAAATATCGTGTTGCCATGACTAACATGATGTGAGCAACGCGAGCCTGCGTTCAGTGTTCGCATAATTACGAATAATTCATGTTGAAACAATGTTTGGAAATATAGGCGAAGGGTTGTTGCATGCATGTATTTCTAGTGGGCTTTATTTTAATGTAGATTTGAAAACAATTTGCAACGTAAAAACAAACGCATGCATTTTAAAACAAAACAGCAAAACTAATAGAAAATTTGAAAATTGTAATTTAGTTTGTTATTAATAAGATATCTGCGAATGGTTTTAACTGGAAAGGAAGGAATGCATCGGTATTTTTTGTTTTCTTCCATCAAATGTGTACCACCCTACTAAAATGTGTTTCAAATCATGCTTTTCTTTTGTGTTTCAAAGTAATGTCTATAAATGCCATATAAAAAGACCTCGGTCAGATATTTCTCTGTAAAGACCTCGCGCTCGGTTAATAAGAAGTTATTAATATAACTTCAATGGCTTACGGTGATGCCAGCTTGATTTTAATTGTTCTCGATATTCGGACAATAAGAAGTCGCTTCTAACGTCTCAAAAACCGAAATGTAGCCTTTGATATTCTAATTCTTGAGAATTTTGATTAGTTCAACATCCTTTTGCGGTGAGTTTGCTGCAAAGGTCTCCCTAGCGCTGAAGCGGACCATTCGTCATTTCGGAGCAGAACCGTCGGTAGATTTTTTTGACACCTTTTTTCAGCCACTCAACTTCGTATGAACTTAATTACTTTTTCGCCTGCGAAAAAGTGCTTAGAAAAGAAATTTCGTGGCAACCTCCTGGGGAATAGAATTTCTGTTCTTCAATTCATAGTACCATAGATGCTCAATTTCCACAGAAAGTTCCCAAGCGAAAAACTTTGCCAAAGACCGAGAAAATGGGTGATTAGTGATTATCCTCTATTAAATTGTATTACAGCAAGAAAATGTGAAATTTTGTATTCAATTAGAACAAAAATTACTTGCATCATCAGAAAGTTTATAAAAATGAAGATATAAGATATTTAAACAGTTTTTTTTATATCTCAAATTGTTTTTGAGTTATACGCTTGCAAAAACGCGTTTTCTACCTAGTACCCAGTCCTTATTGCGACATTTTAGTCGAATTTTCACATTTAAAACAGCAATTACTCCAAGACTATTTGAAGAATCAAAAAACCTGTTTGAAAGGAGGAAGGGCGTGATGGTAAAGATAGTGATGAAAACGTGTTTGTCCTGAGCATTATTTCAGATTCTGAGGAATCCGTAACTGATTTCCCAGTAGGCAAAACAAAAGACTAGTCTGTAGCAAACTGTAGATATCTGTAAATTTTCTTAAGATATGCAGAATAGGTTTATAAGAGACTCTTTTCGAAATATTGCATAAACGTTTGCCATATCATTTCATGTTCTAAAACGACTACCATGTATAAAAACATCTAATGGTGGATTATTCTTTAGCCTGGAATTCGTGAGTTTTGTAATAAAATAGAAAGTTAGGGAGGGTTGTTCAGAATGTTCCTTCACGATGATCGTGTTTGAATTATATTCACTTGTGGTGTTCTCTGAACGTTATCGTCCTCTTCTTACCTAAAAACATTTTCATTTTGCATATAGTTTAGTTTTGCTGTACCTGCTATAAGTTACTTTCGCGCATAAAAAAACCCAACAACAATCGCCACAAATATGGCATGAAATTGTTGCCATAAACTAAACCACCAGCATGACAGCAGTTCTAGTCTTAAGGAAGTGCATTTGGAACGCTGTACATGCATGCAGTATAAGCCCATTAAATGAATGGATACTTTATTATCTCGCGTGTTCTTTGTTTCAATTTGTATTAAATATTTACAGGTGTATCTGTGAGGTTGCGAGGTCCATCAAATTCCAGTGGCACAGGTCGTGTGGAAGTACTCTACAATGGACGATGGGGAACAATTTGTCATTATAGTTGGGATATAAACGATGCTCGGGTTGTCTGTCGCCAACTTGGTTATGCATATGCTGCTAGAGCTCTTCGAGGGCATCAAGTTCCTGATGGAACTGGACATATATGGTTAAAATATGTCGGATGTACTGGAAATGAAGAAAATTTAATCAGTTGTTCTCATGGCGGATGGGGAAATACTTATTGCCGGCATTATCAGGACGCAGGAGTGGAATGTTCGGCAACAGGTAAAATTAGATTTTACTATAATATTGTATTTTAGCACTCATATGATTGATGCACATGTATGCTAGTAAGTCGATCATTGTTTTCCTAAAGGTTGAGAATACAATATCGTAAGCACTTGCAGCATATCATATGCTTGGTGCATAGAGGGAAAATCATAGTCCAGCCAGATTGATAATAAAAAATATGATATTAATAAAACATGTAAAAATATATTCTCGACAACTTGATAACTATCCATACGAGTATATGTAGACTTGCCACAAGTCGACCATGGGGGCGGAAGGGCGCGGGGGA